GGCGGCCGGGGCAGAGGGGGCGGGGTGGGGGTGGGATTGGGGGCTTGCCTCCCCCAGCCCCACCTTCACCCACCGCCCATGCCCCCAATTCTGGCAGCTCATTTGCAGCTGGGCCGCAGACCTGAACTCGGCCCCCCATCACCCCAGGAGCTGGTGGTCGGGCCCTGCCCCTCTTACTCGCCCGGACCCTGCTTCCTTTGAGGGACACGCTCCCCCCAACCACCCTGCTCAGGTGCAGGCCAGCTGGGGGTCTCGGAGCCCTCTGCCCGGGGCTGCTGGGCCCAGGCCTGGAGTGACACGTGCTGAGGTCAGAAGCTGTGTCCCGTCGAAGAGCCTTACCGGGATCTCACCAACGGGCCGATGGAGATAGAAACCCTCCAGTTGTAGATTTGCATGGGGACCGGTGCGAGCAGACTGTGTCGTCTTTAAAACGGCGGCGCTGCTTAAAAACGAGAAACGTTTTTCTTTTGTATTTAGAGGCCCCCTCGTCATCTGCAGCCCAAAGCCGCTTCCTTAGCTCGCGCACCAGTCCGGCGCGGGCTGGGCCTGCCCCCCGGGGGTGCTGGGGGACCCCTCGCTGCTTCCCTTCCCTCTCGTGCTAATCCCAGCCCCCTTGCTTCCTTCCCCCCACAGCCCATCAACAATGCGGACTTGAAACGTTTTTCTTTTGTATTTAGAGGCCCCCTCGTCATCTGCAGCCCAAAGCCGCTTCCTTAGCTCGCGCACCAGTCCGGCGCGGGCTGGGCCTGCCCCCCGGGGGTGCTGGGGGACCCCTCGCTGCTTCCCTTCCCTCTCGTGCTAATCCCAGCCCCCTTGCTTCCTTCCCCCCACAGCCCATCAACAATGCGGACTTCGTCGTGCCTGTGGAGATAGAGGGGACCATGCACCAGGTGAGCTGGGCCCTCTGACGGAGAGGGCAGGGCGGCCATCTGGATCCGGCCCAGGAGCGGGGCCCCTGGAGGATCTGCGGAAGGCCACAGCCCGGTTCAAGTAATCCAGGATAGGCTGTTACCAGGCAGCACGGCCTATTCTTGGTTACTTGTTTCGGGAGGCGGCCGCTGGCGCCGGAGGAAGAGGGGCCGTCGGGGCTGGGGGAGAGGAGGGGTGACGGGGACCCGGCTGAAGGCCCCTGTTGGCAGCAGCGATGAGGACGGGGCTGCAGCCGGGGCCCCTTGAGCTGGCGCCCGACGGACAGCTGGGGACCAC